TCACACTTGCAACTGACAAGACAACTAAGGTCAAGAGTGAAAGCACTGTGGTGCTTGAAAAGAGCTGTTTCCGTGGAGTGATGAATTGGTGTATTAGTTATCTAGTGCTGCATAACAAATTACCACAAACTATAGCAGTTTAAAGCAGCAGGTATGTATTATCTTACAGCATGAGTGGGTCAGGAATCTGGGTGTAGCATACTGGGTGCCTCTGGTTCCTGGTCTCCCACAGCGCTGCCATGAAGATGTTGGCCAGGGCTAGAGTCTTCTCAAGGTTTGATATGGGAGGATTCACTTTCAAGCTTGCTCATATGGCTGCTGACAGGACTCCGATCCTTGCTGGCTATTAGGCTAAGACATCTATTCCTTGCCAAGTGGGTCTCTCCATAAAGCAACTCACAACATGGCAGCCTTCTTCCCCTAGATCAAGGAATCTAAGAGAGAAAAGGCAAGAAACAGCAGCCCAAGATGGTAGCTCCAGTTTCTTATAACATAAACCCTGAAGTGACATCCTATCACTTTTTTAAGACTTTATTTTTCAGAGCAATTTCATGTTCACAGAAAAATTAAGCAGAAAGTAGAGAGACTTCCCATATCCTCACTACACTACCAATATTCCCCAGCAGTATGGAACATTTGTTACAATGATGAACCAACTCTGATGCATCATTATCCATCTCAGTCCATAGCTTACACTGGGGTTCACTCTGTGTTGTAGATTTTATGGGCTCTGACAAATATGCAATAACATGCATCCAGCCTTATAATATCATATAGAATAGTTTCATTGCCCTAAGAATCCCCTCTGCTCCATCTGTTCATCCTCCTTCCCCCAAACCTCTGGCAACCATTGGTCTTCTCACTGCTTCCATAGTTTTGCCTTTTCCCAAATGTCATAGAGTTGGGATCATACAGTAAGTAAACTTTTCAGATTGGCTTCTTTCACTTAATAATATGCATTTAAGTTTCTTCCATGTCTTCTCATGGCTTGATAGCCAATTTATTTTTAGTGCAGAATAATATTCCATTGTCTGGATGCACTACAATTTATTTATCCATTCATCTGTTGAAAGACATCTCAGTTGCTTTCAGGCTTTGGCAATTAGAATAAAGTTATGATAAACATCAGTGTACAGGGTTTTTGTGGACATAAGTTTTCAACTCCTTTGGGTAAATACCAAGGATCATGATTGTATCATGTGGTGAGAGTATGTTTAGTTTTGTAAGGAACTGCCACACTGTCTTCCAAAATGGCCATGCCGTTTTGCATTCCCACCAGTAGTGAATGAGAATTCCTGATGTTCACATCCTTACCAACATTTGGTATTGTCACTATCTGGAATTTAGCCATTCCAGTAGAAACATAATGGCATCTCGTTTTAATTTGCAATTCCCTAATGACATATGATGTGGAGCATCTTTCCACATGCCAACCCCTAACTTATGCTATATTCTAGCCATTGGAAGAAATTCGCTAGGTCCAGCCCACACTGAAGGGGAGGGGACTACACAAGGGCACAGATAGCCGGAGATGTGGCCATTGGAGACCATCTCAGGGGCTGACAGCATAATTAGACTGAGAAATGAATGGAGGAGAGGAATTAAAGACAAATATAGACAACACTTTTGAGGAGTTTTGCTATGAAGAGAAGCAAAGAACTGAGAGGTTAGTTGTAGAAGTATGTGGAGTTAAAGAATGTTTTTGTTTTCTTTGTTTTGCAACAAACCAGATCATTCTTACCAATAAAGGTGATACATTGGATATATTGATATGTAACCAAATAAAATTCTATTTTATACCTTTATTCATATATTTCTTAGAAGTATGGTGAACAATGCTAAAGTTTGTGAATAAGAAACCTGAAAGGGATTTTTTTTTTTTTTAAGATTTTATTTATGGGACGCCTGGGTGGCTCAATCGGTTAAGCATCTGCCTTCAGTTCAGGTCATGATCTCAGGGTCCTGGGATCGAGTCCCATATCAGGCTCCTTGCTCAGCGGGGAGCCTGCTTCTCCCTCTCCTGCTGCCTGCCGCTCCCCCTCTTTGACAGAGCATGCGTGTGCGGGGTGGTGGGGGGAGAGCACAAGTACAAGCAGGGGGAGCAGCAGAGGGAGAGGGAAAAGCAGGCTCCCCAGTGAGCAGAGAGCCCGACTCGGGACTCCATCCCAGGACCCTGCGATCATGACCTGAGCCGGAGGCAGACCCTTAACCGATTGAGTCAGGCAGGTGCCCCAAAAGAGGATTTTTAAATTTTTTTATCTTTATTTTTTTTAAAGATTTTATTTATTTCTTTGACAGAGAGAGAGAGAGCAAGAGAGGGAACACAAGCAGGGGGAGTGGGAGAGGGAGAAGCAGGCTTTCCGCTGAGCAGGGAGCCCGATTTGGGGCTGGATCCCAGGACGCTGGGACCATGACCTGAGCTGAAGGCAGGTGCTTAACAACTGAGCCACCCAGGCGCCCCAAGGGGACTTTTTAAATTGTCTGTTTTGTACCCACGTGGGGATCAGAAAGAAGTACATCCATATCCCAGTGCTCCCAGGACACTTACAAGTACACCTTCTAATTGCCAAAATCAGCCACACAAGTTTATTCAGGCAGATGAAACCAATAGACTTCAGTGTGGGCAGACATTCTGTCTTGGCTTGAAAATAAGCCTACAGCTGCTTGGAAAAGGGAGGCTACTGGGCAGAGACCTGCATGTGGCAAACGGCCCAATGACTGATTAAATTGCTACGGGACTGGAGTGATCATTTAAATCATGAGTAATGTCTGCAGCTTTATCTTCTGATGCTCCACTGCAACAACACAATAAAATATGCACTCAACACAGAGACAAAAGTAAATGAATGGGCCAATTAATTTGTGAAAGCAAATGCCCTAGATCTGTGTCTGATGTCAGTTCATTGAGAACAAGTGAGTCTTAGGATCTCCTGGGTATAGGGATTGGGCAACGGCAGGGTTTGAGGAAGGTGATAAATAATGTGCTTTCTTCCCCTTCCACATCCAGAACCAACACAGACATCACAGAATGGAAATTGAAGTGTTCACTTTACTACTGATAAGATGGTATCCTCAGAATTCAGTCTGTTCTACTCCCATCCCAGTCTAGACCTTGAGTCACCATTGCCTTACACTGATCTTGATCAGTGAGAGAAGAAAAAGAACACGAATCCTCAGTTTATAGCCTTCTAGTGGATTCTCTTCTTTGAGGAAGATGAGCCCCTGGATGTTACCCACCATGATGTACTTGGGGGCCAAAAATTTTAAATGAGTAAAATGCAGGATCATGTTATTACACAGTTAATGAGAAATGTTATATTTTATTTAGTTAGGACTATCAGAAAAGCATAGAGGTAAAGGTAATGACACTTACAATGTACCCAACTGTGTACTGAACCAAGAAAACCCTCAATGGCTTCCAAGTGGTCCCCTCTTCCCCCTATCCCCCTCCCATCAGAGACTATAAGAATCTTAGCCTATTGAGAAAAGGGGACAGGTGGAGAATGAAAGCCAGCAAGCCTACCCTGGTTTGCATGCTCTCAAAATTCATGTTAGCATTGGATTTTATGGAAATTCCTTCCTCTTCTGGAAGGGAATGAGGAAATGGTGGGCAGAGGCATTATCCAGCAGAAGTTCCTCCACAGAGAAACATGGTGGTGGTAGGGGGGGAGTTGGGGGAAGGATAAGGTTCCCCTCTAGCAGCAGCAAAACTAGCCAGAGAAATGCCCAACACCTCCCGGGGCCCCAGGATGCCTTCTCTACAAGTGTGTGAAAGGCAGGCCAAATACATGCCAAGAAAAGAAATCCAGGAGGTTTTATCAAGTCCTTACAGCACACCAAGCTCTCGGCCAGGTACTGGGAAGGCAGGGATAAATTCACACTCAAGGTGACCCAGGAAAGATACAACCTGGGATAAGTCCCCATCACTGCCACCGTTATGAGCCTTCGAGAGGTTGATAGCATGAGTACTCAACTATGTTGGGGGATAAATGGAGAGTATCTTTTCCTGGAGTCATTTCGCCCTTACCCAAACATATTCCAGGCACTACTATGCTGAGTTCTGGGGACCCAGCAGAGAAGAAAACAGAGTCCTTGTGGAGCTGTATATTCCACCATCATGACAACTCTGCTTTTGGAGAACACCCTAAGGCTGGCTCTACTCCACCAGAGAAAATTCTAGCTGATCTATAAAGTCCCTTCTACTCTAGAATTCCTCTTTAATCCCTTGGCCTCTGATTTTTACCTCTTGGATATTTGATGTGCAGTCAGCTTCCTGCTGGTAATGCGAGACTCACGTAGGTACCCCTTCTCCAAGGAGCCTTCCCTGACCCCTTAGCAGCCTGGGCTCAGTGGTTCGCGCTGTGCCCTTGGCACACTGTGTGGGCTTCTATCGGCGGGCGAATGTCACTTTACATTCCTTGAGGGCAGGTGCAGTTTCTCATTCCACTTTATACCCCCAGCACCAATCACATTGCCTGACACAGTCAGCACTCAGAAAATACTTGTCACGCTAAACAGTCCCTCCAAACAAAATAATCTCAAGTGTCCCAGTTTCTAGGAAGCCCCAGATCTCAAAATTCCAAAAGCAGATTAAGGACAAGGCTGGGAGAGCGGGTCCTGTGCAGCCGTGCTTCCGCGGCTTGCGGACCACCCTGAGGGAAGGCATGGAATACTTTGGGGGGCGGGGGTTACATACCTAACATTATCTGTTGCCTGGAGCTTCATCTAACCTGCAGAGCGGTAAATGCCCACCACATCCAGAGAGGTGTCCGGGCAGGTGTGCCCCCGAGTCCGCAGGCTCCGAGGCCCGGGCGCCGGCAGGGGGCGTGCGAGAGCCTCCGGGCGCCCCGGGAGGGGCGGATACAGGGCCGGGAGGGGCGCCGGGGTAACTTTTTGGTTGGTTGCCGCAGGGTGCCCGACCGCCCAGGCCCCTTTTAAACTTGGTCTTTCCAGCATCCCCCCTTTTCTGCCGCGGCGCGCGACTCGGTAAGTGTCTTCCGACCCGCTCGACGCCAGAACAGGCCACGTGGGGGTCTCTGGTGGCACTTACTAGACGCGCCCCTCCTTGCCCCCCGGGCCCGCCCCGTCCGGGCGTCCGTGACCCCGGTTCGGCCTCAGCTCGGCGCCCCCTCGAGAAAGGCCCCCGATGCCGGGGAAGGAGCTCCCTGGGGGCACCCATGAGGGCCCCTCTTAGGTGGGCACGTCCTCGTGGAGCCGGGGACCCTGAGTCCCTGGGAAGCACCCTCGTGGCGCCTAAACACCCCCCCCCCCCCCGCACCTCTCGTGCCTGTGGCCCCGACGCTCAAGGGCTCCAGGCCGCAGGGAGCTTCAAACTCCTGTTTCAACGAAAGGAGAACTTTTCGAGAACGCGGCTGGGGGGCGGGGAGCGCCGAGCCGGCGGGGCGGCCGTGTTGCCCGCGCACTCGGGGCTCCCGCCTGCCCGCGCCTGGCAGCGACCCCGACATGGCCCGTTTGGAGAGTGAGCGGGACGGTGGCTCCGGGCGCGGGCAGCTTCCGCGCGCAGCAGCGTGATCCCGGTGCTCCCCACGAACCGAGGGCCTTCCGCGCGCACAGCCTCTCACGCCGCGCACACAGGCGCCTTTCCGTTGCCACTTCGCAGGGGAGCTGGGCTTTTTAAAAGGTCTGGGGTGAGTCTGGCCTGAACTGAACTGGTAACTGCTGTGAGCCCTCCTGAGGGAGCCTGCAATGTTCTCCCCCACGTTCGCCGTTTCAGGAGTGACCAGAGCCTTATGCAGCACGGGACCCCCTTCCAGCATTTTCGGAGTGTGAGGCCCGTCATGGTTTTCTCTCCGGGGAAGAAAATCTTTAACCATTGGGGTTCCGATCTGTGTCCACTAAGACGCTGGCACACCTTGCTGGAGAAAGGGTTATTCTCCGAATTTTGTAAAGATACAAATTTAGAGATGAATGAATGAAGGAATCATGGTAGATACCCTAGGTATCACTGAGTAATCTCCCCCTTGAAATGTGAGGCTTGCGGGGTTCACATGTTTGCACTAGAGTTATGAAAGACTTTTTCACTTATTAGAAAGTATCTTATTAGAAAGTATTTACGATGGGGCGCCTGGGTGGCTCAGTCGTTAAGTGTCTGCCTTCGGCTCAGGTCATGGTCCCAGAGTCCTGGGATCCAGCCCCGCATCGGGCTCCCTGCTCGGCGGGAAGCCTGCTTCTCCCTCTCCCACTCCCCCTGCTTGTGTTTCCTCTCTCGCTATATCTCGCTGTCAAATAAATAAAATGAAAAAAAAAAAAAAGAAAGTATTTACGGATTAGGAAACCCAGTGGGACACCATTTTGTCATGCTTTTAAAGAGGGGGGAGGGGCGCCCGGGTGGCTCAGGTCATGATCCCAGGGTCCTGGGGTCGAGCCCCACATGGGGCTCCCTGCTCGGTGGGAAGCAAGCTTCTCCCTCTCCCACTACCCCTGCTTGTGTTTCCTCTCTCGCTATATCTCGCTGTCAAATAAATAAAATTAAAAAAAAAAAGTATTTACGGATTAGGAAACCCAGTGGGACACCATTTTGTCATGCTTTTAAAGAGGGGGGAGGGGCGCCCGGGTGGCTCAGGTCATGATCCCAGGGTCCTGGGGTCGAGCCCCACATGGGGCTCCCTGCTCGGTGGGAAGCAAGCTTCTCCCTCTCCCACTCCCCCTGCTTGTGTTCCCTCTCTCGCTGTGTCTCTCTCTGTCCAAAAAATAAATAAAATCTTTAAAAAGAAAAAAAAATAAAGAGGGGGGGAAAGGTAGTGTTGCGAGCTGTGCTGTAGGGACCCCTTTTGCGGCCACATATATGAACCCAGAGCACATGGCCAGTTTTCCCTGCCCTGCGTCCCTCAATCCGGTGACTAATACTCCCACACCTGGAAATGCAGTGGTCAGGCTTTGTTTTACAATTCCTTTACGTGTTGGGGATTCCTCTCGAGCCAAACTGTTGCCACGTTTCCATCTGAGACAGAAACATGGGCTGAGAGAGCCAGGCGGCGCCACAAGGAAGCGGCAGCTTGCGCCAGTGTCTATTTAAGGATTGTGGAAACTCAACAGGAGCTGGAGACCGTTCTCAACTTGCTACCTCTGCCTCTGGGTAAACAAGTTCCAGGCTTCCTTTGGTTTGTAAATCTGTTCAGTTTGTTTCAATGTTTCCCAGGTACAAACTCTTGCCAGTAAGGTTTACTTTTTTTCTGAAATTGCTACTATTCCAGGCTAATGTAACAAAGAGATCAAGCTGCCGCTGACATTATATTCTATGCAGTCCCAGAGGATAGGAACTTAATTCACTGTTCGTTTTACTCCTGGCTGAAAGTGACCAAGTTGGTTCCCAAGTGTGAGGAAATCTTGAAGAATGTAGCCTTTTTTACGGGAATTCTATTCAAAGGTAGCGCTTTTTTCTCATCAAAGGTAGCTAGTAGATAACTACAATAAAAGACACTCTACAAAACGAAAAACAAAGCCCCAAACCATAAAAAGTGACATGATATTCCTAACGTTGTCCTTCTCACTTTTCTCTCAGGCTCAGTCCAGCTCAAGATGCTGATGAACTTCAGGTATGGACCAAATGGAGAGACTTTGGCTTGAGTTACTAAATAGCTGAATGGAATTCTTGGCCAAGGATGAGAACCCTAGTCTGATTAGCTGTGCTTCTCTGATGGGTTAAAGGATTTACCTGAGGCCAACGAAATAGGAATTGGTTACATGATCACATCCCTCCTCCCTTTAGAAAGTACGTTTTAATTAGAAAGGCGGGAAACCTCTAGTATATAAGTAATACTTTATTATGCCAAGAAAAGGTTATTTTTTAAGTAATTGACATTTAATCTTTCAAAGTATCTTTTCCAATGGTGGCCATTTTGCATTTGAGTCTTCCAGAAGGTTGAGGTTGAGAAGCTTTAGTAAAATAGGGTTTGAGTTAAACATTCACTTTTATATCAGAACATTACTGAGTTGTGAGCCCTGAGTTGACAATGTATAGTATGTTGGGGAATTTTATTTAAACAGTTTTTGTAAACGTGGTCTAGAAACCACTGTTTATTTTCTTTTTCTTTTATTTTTTAATTTTTTATTTATTCATTTGAGGTACAGAGAGAGCATGAGCAGGGGGAGAGGGAGAGGGAGAAGCAGGCTCCCTGCTGAGCCAGGAGCCCGATGCGGGGCTCAATCCCAGGACCCCGGGATCATGACCTGAGCCGAAGGCAGACACTTAACCACCTGAGCCGCCCACCACTGTTTTATTTCTTAATAGCACATCTTATTTAGTACTTGCTGCTCTAACTACCTGCTGTGATACTTCTTTTACAGGACTGGTGCTTGAAAGACAATTGTGCTTGAAAGAAGTTTTCAAGAGGGTGAAATATATTTGAACATGTGGTAGTTCATACATATAGAATAGAAGCTCTTGCTTTGTCCCTTTCATGGTAGTATCAGGGGTGAATTTTGAGAAGATGCCAAATAGCTATAAGAATATAGATCTACTTGCCCCATAGAGAATTTTCTAGAACATAGGTCCATTTAGTCTTTACCAACCAACCAGCCCCAGCCTGAAGCTTGACACTGCTATCTTGACAACTCTGTCAATTGTGCTTTATAATTTGCAAAGGTTATTTTTAAATCTCATTCTTTTGACTATCCGAAATATATGTTTCAAAGTATTCTCTTAAAAATTTGGTTTTATTTTTTTTAAATTTTATTTATTTATTTATTTATTTATTTTTATTTATTTATTTTTTAAGATTTTATTTATTTATTTGACAGAGAAAGACACAGCGAGAGAGGGAACACAAAGGGGGAGTGAGAGAGGGAGAAGCAGACTCCCTGCCGAGCAGGGAGCCCGATGAGGGACTCGATCCCGGGACTCCAGGATCATGACCTGAGCCGAAGGCAATCGCTTAACCAACTGAGCCACCCAGGCACCCCAAAATTTGGTTTTATTATATGCTTACAAATTTTTCCATAATAGATCATTTTAATGATTACATTTGATCCTTTAGACAGGAGACAGATCAATGGATTCTTAAGGATCAGTGAGGGGCTGGTTGCAAAGGAGCATGAGGGAGTTTTGAGGAAATGTTTTATATCTTGTTTATGGTGGTGACTGCATTTGTCAAATTTCGGGTGAGTTTTGCTAAATGTAAATTGCACTTCAATAAATGTGACTTTAAAAACTTTTCTGGCTTCTTAATGACCTTTCCAATGCAATCTGTGGCAAGGCAGGTTTGGGTCAGTGCTTGAAGGATTTCCTGAGGGGTTAAAAATGGCAAAAACATCAAAAATCATTTTGGGGGTATAGTCACGTAAGTGCCTTGTGCACACAATAAATACCTGAGAACAATGGGATCAGAGGGTATATGTTGGCTTACCCATTGGGGATATAAAATTTCGCTTTACGGATATTTTGAGCAACAACACATACTCCTTGTCTTCTTGACAGCTGCATTTTAAGTCAGATGCCAGACACTTTGCCCTTGACAGTCCATTCTAGTGGCCACATGGTGGCAGAGTACAGAGTGTGACATTTCTGTTACCCTTATATGCCCTGCAACTTGGTTGGCACCGCTTTGGGTTCCTTTGTAGCTTTGCTTTCCACACTGGCAGCTTCCCCTTTCAAGAGAATGTAGAATGGCTTTGACCGACACCAGCCAGGGAATTTGGGAAATGAAGTGAGGTTTTAGCTGCTGAGTAACTGGGCTTGGGTTGATCTCAAAGCTTGATGCATCAGCCACACGGTTGAATGAAAAAAATCCGTCTGAACTCTCCCTTTTACTCTTGGGATTTTCAAGGATGCTTTTGCAAGGAAAGCTGGGCCAAGTATTGGTTGCGAGGCATTGCTCTGACTGTAGGTAATAAGTAGGTCGAACCACGGAGCCTGTTGAGCCCCGCCCCGTGACCATATGGAGTGCTGACGCCCGTGTGATGCCATCTGGCAGCCGCAAGCAACCCCCATCAGGTGCTCGTGTGCTTCCGGGTCCCACACCTTCCCTGCCCCGCCTCTCCCAACGCCCTTCCCGCTACGATGGCAGCACAGTCGCCCAGTACAATACCTTGGTTAAACAAGTCTAGCAAACACCAGAGAAAACGGGATTAGGCGTCGGAGCCTGCCCTCCTTGGACAGCCCGTGCCTGCATGCTGAGCAGAGCTAAGGCGACAGTGGGAAGATGCCAACAGGACTATTCAACTACCAGCCATTTTGCGCTCAAGTGCCCTGAGAAGTGAAGCAAGCCTGGAGTTGAATGAAATGTTCCCAGAGAGGGCTTATTAATTCCAAGGCAGGAGGTTGGGCTTGAAGAGAATCTTTCTGACTATAAATGAAAATGTGATAGGAATGTAACTTGATGCTAATGGTTATGGTTTCATTGAAAATGTAAAATCTGAGGAACTCCGGTCACTATCTTCCCCGGATGTGACCTGCCCAGGATCACGGTTATGCTATTGCTCATGTTGGTTCAGGTAGATTGAGTCACATAATTAGATTTCAAGAATGGGCATATCCCATTTTTGACATAGGCACTCCACAGTATTCTTAAGCCCTGACTACAAGCAGTTTCTGGTTCTTAAAAGCAAGCAAATCTTTGTAGTTCAAGTGACTATTCCAAACTAAATAAGTATTTTTGAGGTTTCTAAAACCTCAAATAAAAATATTTTCATAATTTGGCAAATATTCACTGTGTTTCTCTTGTGTGTTAAGTCCTGTGATAGACGATTCCAGCCTTAATAGTGTTGGCGTGGTGTGACTTAAGCATATCACTGTGTAGGTTAGAATATGCCCCAGTCAACTTCTGTTAGAAGGAGTAACTTCACTTAGTATCTGAGTCTGTATCTGAAAGATCCAATTGTTAGGACAAACTCTGAAGAGACTATCTATTTTTACACATACACACACACACACCCCCATCACTACCACATTCCCTGAAGGATTTAGGGCTTCTAAACAAACAGTAAACAATACAATAATTAGAAGAGAGAATAAAGACTCAGGAAGAAGAGAGCAGGATTATAAAACCAAGCCATTGGACCTCATGCATTAGGCTCCCGCCAATTTGGCTCTGAGCCTCCTAGGAGCTGGCGAAAAGAGCCTGTTGGCAATTTGTCATTAGGCACTTGAATATGAATTTAAAATGGAAAAGGAGGAGGAGGTGGGGTCATTTTCATTCTCGGTTCCCTGGAACCTAAGTGAAAAGATGTTTTTTTTTCCCTCTTCGTGATCTCAAGTACCTTGAAGGAAGAAGTAGAACAGAAAAGGTGTCCATATAACTAAACAAGGATCTAGAGATCATGGAGACTGATGGATTTGATGCAGAACAGTGAGGTCGGTCGGCCAGTGACCCCAGCTCATTGTCAAGACAAAGGGATAACACCTCTTGAGAAAAAAGCCATATTGAGATTTGAGGGGAAAAAAGCCATATTGAGATTGTGTAAACAGCCAGATACATGTTTGAAAGGCTTATTTTCATTTTGTACTCAAAGTTTGCCTTTCCAAAATTTACCACATATTCATGAACCGAAGAGTCCTGATTCCAATATTATGTTATAAAATTGTGATTTATCACAATCTGGGACTATGCAACCATGACTAGAGGGCCCCCTCATGGAGCTTATCTGCACTGCAAGGGGCCCATTTCTTGTACTCTCCACCATTGCCATCTGCATTTCCAGAAGGACAGCTCCACATCAATCTGTTTCAGAGATAGAGATAAAATCCAGTCAAATCAGTTTGATCTATGTCACAATGATTTGTTTCTAGGAGCAGAGCAGAACTGCGCTGTTGATGGATCAGAGCCTAATACCACTGATTTTCCAGTTGGACGAATGCCCTGGCATGTTACCCCCATGCAGAATAGAGCACACTCTATCATTTATAGACCTTCTGTGGTAGGGAAATATGTGCAACTTTGGGAATCATCATAGGGTCCAAACTGCACGCTTAAACACAGTAGGCACTGACCACAAGTCACTTGAGCTCTTGAACCATGGCTACTCCAAACTAATCTGCACAGAGGTATAAAAAATATCAGCTTTGGAAGAATTAATATAAACAAAGAATGTGAAGTATCTCAATTGTATATTGACTATATGTTAGATGATAATATTCTGGATACTGGGTTAAATGAAATATATTATGAAAATTATATAAATGCTATTTGCATCATATTTCTGTTGGGCAGTACTAATCTAAAACAAGAATCAAAATATTCATGGGAGGGGCACCTGGGTGGCTCAGTTGTTAAGCATCTGCCTTCGGCTCAGGTCATGATCCCGGGGTCCTGGGATCGAGTCCCGCATCGGGCTCCCTGCTCTGCGGGGAGTCTGCTTCTCCCTCTCCCACTCCCCCTGCTTGTGTTCCCGCTCTCGCTGTGTCTCTCTCTGTCAAATAAATAAATAAAATCTTTAAAAAAAAAAAAATATTCATGGGAACAGGCAGATCATGGTTCCATGGTCCATAGAGAGAAAGGTGTCATCATCCTACTATAGGACCTGGAGGAGAAGCAAGAGTAAAATTAGATTAGCACTCACATTACAGCATTTCCAGGTAAGCAGCTCTTCTTCCCAGGGCACAGGAGCACCAAGCCAGTGCCATTTAGAAGGCTGGATATAAATTCTACCCTCAAGCTGCTAGCACTTCCGGGGATTGTAAATAAAAGGCTTCAGGATGTATTCATTAAACACTCTTTTGTTCTAAGACTATGTACAAGTATTTGTGTGTTATCAGGGGCCAAAGGACTTGGTATGCTACATCTTGTCAAAATACAGCCTCCTTCGTGAAGGAGTATGAAGAACAGTTCTGGTTTCCTGACCTCGTTAGTCTGGGCGGGGGGTGTCCCTAGTAATCTGTCTTTCATGTTTAATGGAAAGTAAAGACTGGGGGAGGTGGCACCATAAGTATTACCAGAACTTACATGAAACCTTATGTTAAGCAAAATGTTCCACAACATTCTCCCTTTCCCTTATTTCACTTAGGTCTAAAAAGCAGCTCTGTGTAAAATCCCATTTTGTAGTTTCCTTACTACTAGTAATGACTTTGGCATTTTGTCTTTTTAAAAATTCTTTATTTAAATTCAATTTGGTTAACATATAGTGTATTATTAGTTTCAGGGGTAGAATTTAGTGATTCATCAGTTGCTCATTCCATCAAGTGCCCTCTTTAATGCCCATCACCCAGTTACCCCATCCCTTTATCCCCCTCCCCTCCAGCAACCCTCAGTTTGTTCCCTATAGTTAAGAGTTTTATGATTTGCCTCCCTCCTTGTTTTTATCTTACTTTATTTTTCTTTCCCTTCCCCTATGTTCATCTGTTTTGTTTCTTAAATTCCACATATGAATGAAGTCATATGGTATATGTCTTTCTCTGACTGACTTATTTTGCTTAGCATAATACCCTCTAGTTCCATCCATGTCTTTGCAAATGGCAACATTTCGTTCTTTTTGATGGCTGAGTAATACATACATATATATATGATATTTGCATCTTCTTTATCCATTCATCTGTCAGTGGACATCTGGGTTCCTTCCATAGTTTGGCTATTGTGGACATTGCTGCTATAAACATCGGGGTGCATGTGCGCCCTTGAATCACTATGTTTGTATCCTTTGGATAAATACCTAGTAGTACAGTTGCTGGGTCATAGGGTAGCTCTATTTTTAAATTTTGAGGAGCCTCCATACTGTTTTCCAGAGTGGGTGCACCAGCTTGCATTCCCAGCAACAGAGCAAGAGGGTTCCTCTTTCTCCACATCCTCACCAACATCTGTTGTTTCCTGACTTGTTAGTTTTAGTCATCCTGACTAGTGTGAGGTGGTATCTCATTGTGGTTTTCATTTGTGTTTCCCTGATGCTGAGTGATGTGGAGCATTTTTTCATGTGTCTGTTGGCCATTTGGATGTCTTCTTTGCAGAAATGTCTGTTCATGTCTTCTGCCCATTTCTTGACTGAATTATTTGTTTCTCGGGTGTTGAGTTTGATAAGTTCTTTATAGATTTTGGAGACCAGCCCTTTATCGGATATGTCATTTGCAAATATCTTCTCCCATTCTGTTGGTTGCCCTTTAGTTTTGTCGACTGTTTCCTTTGCTGTGCAAAAGCTTTTTATCTTGGTGAAGTCTCAATAGTTCATTTTTGCTTTTGTTTCTCTTGCCTTTGGAGATGTGTCTCACAAGAAATTGCTGGGGCCAAAG